GGCGTCAAGTCGGAGAGACACAGTACGAAATCCCACTGGCGAATTCGGCGCCCTTCTCGCACTTGCACGCAGGGGCGGCGGTGGCAGAACACACTCACCACACATCACGCGTCTGCGTCGTTACCCCCAGACATTCGCGAAAGAGTACACGGCGTTACTGGAGGAGGCGCAGTTCGGAATCCAAACTTACGCATGCCGAACGATTTTCGTCTTGAGCCCCAAATGTCGGAAGCGACGTCATCGCGCCGCTTCCCCCCCCCTCCTCGCGCCTCCTCCAACCCCCTGCCCCTGTCCTGGGAAGACCCCCATCTCCCCCGTAGAATCATAGCATTGGTTGACAGATCCACAATTCCGTGGATAACATGATGTTTCACGCGCGGTGCCTGGCGTATCCCATTTCACGCGGGTCTGGGATGTGAATCATTATTATAGATTTACCCCGAGAGAATACATGGATCCACGGGTTTCTCGCACACGGAAAATTGGATCCGCGCAAGACAGAAATAGAACCCACGACACTGTCGCACACCCGAGAAAGGATCCGATTGGAGCCATCGATGTTCTCATATTATCAGATATGGAAAACTTTCGGCCTGGGGACAAAGGGTTCGGCACCCTTCTCACACTCGCACGCAGAGGCGGCGGCGGCGGGACACGTTCACCATACACCATGCGTCTGTCGCATTGTCCACAAACATTTGCGACAGAGTGCATGGCGTTAGTGGGAAAACGCAGTTCGAAATCCCACTGACGGATCCGCCACCTTTCACGCACATGCACGCAGGGGCAGCGGCGGCAGAACACGCTCACAGCACCCCACGCGCATGTTTCATTACCGCCAGACATTTGCGAGAGAGTGCACGGCGTCAGCGCGAGAGAGACGCAATCCGAAATTCCACTGAAGGGCTCGGCGCCTTTGTCTCGCATGTGCACGCACGGGCGGCGGCGGCAGAACACCCACTGACGGATTCGGCACCGGTTCCGCACTTGCACGCAGGGGGCGGCGGAGGCAGAACACACCCACCATACCTCACGCGTCTGTTTGATTATCCCCAGACATTTACGAAAGAGAATATGGTGTTAGTGGGAGGGCAACGGGCCTCTAGGCTGAGTGCCACGCACATTCGTCTTGAAAGAGCATACACCCTCGGGGCCGTCGCGGAGCCCACTCTCGGGGCACCTGGGGCGGAGATCCCTACTCGAGGCCCTACATGACGCCACGCTGGTTCCGGGCAGGCTGCGCGGCCCGGCGGAAGGGGGCGAGGAGGGGAGGAGCAGGCAGACGACGACGAACGCCCGGGCGGGAGGCCAGGGCCGGCGGGGTGGGCGGGCAGGCAGAAGACGGGCCAGGCGGAAACAGCAGGCAGGGAGCCGGAGGAAAGGAAAGGAGGGAAGCAACGAACAGAGTCGGAGGGAAAGCAGGGGGAGGAAGAGGAGGAGGAGGAGCAGCAGCAGCAGCAGCAGCAGCAGCCGCAGCAGCAGCAGCAGCAGCAGGGCCGGGCCAGGGGCCGGGAGGGAAAGCCACCCGCAACGAACCTACGGACACTACGGCGGCGACGGGAGGGTCGGCACGGGCGTCGGGAAAGGCGTCGGGGGGTGGTCGCGGGCGCAAGGGCGTCGGAGAGGGCGCCGGCGGGGTCGGCCGCGGGCGTCGGGAAAGGCGTCGGGAAGAGCGTCAGGAAGGGCGTCGGAGAAGGCGTCGGGGGGGGGGCCTGACCGAACCCAGCACGCCGCGGCTTGGCGGCGAGGGCACCTCTGCAGTATCACCCACCGCCCCGCCGAGGAAGGGACGGCCGGCAGCGCGGGGGGGCGCCGGCACGCCATCCGCGAGAAGGGGCACGGGGGAGGCGCCCGCACTGCCCCGGGGGGAGTGGGCAGGGGGCGTTAAGCAGCGCCCGGCGGCGCTCACACGGCGTCCGCCGTGGAGGCCGCCGTGGCCGCGGCCAGGCGGGCCACGACCACTCCCGCCCCTCCAGACTGTGTCTGGAGGCGCCGCAACACCGCCCGCGCGTTCTCCCTGTGCAGGGAGACGGGGAGTCGCTGGGCGTGTTGATCCGCCACCAGAGCGGCGCCCTCCCCCGCGGCGTCAGCCACCTGCTTGGCCAGGCCCCGAAGGCCCTGCGCGCCTCGCGGCCCCACCCGCCGCCATGGGCCTCCAACACCATGGGGGTGAAGGTGAAGCCGTGCCCCGCGCACAGCCGCGCGGTGCCCTGGTGCTGCCTCTTGAACTCCTCGCATCGCTCCGTCGGCGCGCTGGGCGACGCGGCCGACGCGGCGAGGAGATCGGCGCGCAACCCGGACGCGGCGGCAAAGTCCCAGGCGGCCGCCGCGCCGTTGCGCCACCTCGGCAGGTAGACGTCGGCGGGGCGGCGGCCGCTGTCGCCCACCTGGGATCCGCCCTGCTCGCCCCCGGGGGTGGCCTCCCAGGCGGGGCGCGCGGGTAGCAGCCCCGGGCGCTCCAACTCGGCCCTGGCGTGACCAGCGGCCAGAGCGTCGAAGAAGGCCCGGTTGCGCAGGGCGCTGTGGCGTTTGGCCCCGTCGCCGCGGCAGGCGCAGACCAAGGCGCGGTCGCAGTAGACATCCATCACCTCGCCACAGGCTGAGCAGAAGCACTCCTCCTGCAAGAGCTGGACTCGCAGCCGCCTCTGCAGGCCGACCTGCATGAGACCGCGCGGGAAGGCGGTGCCTGCGGCCTCGCAGGGCGGCGCCTGGAGCCACGCGGCGGCGCCCGGGGCCTGCACCAAGGAGAGGCGCGCCTTGCCGGCCAGGGTGGCGCCCGCCAGGAGCCCTTCAAGCGTGGCGCTGTCCACCGCGTCGGAGAGGGCTTTCTGGTTGCTGTGCTGGGCGTGGTCGAACACCACCTTGTCGGCGTCCCGCACGACTGCGTTGTGGGCCTGCACCGCCGCCGCCAGGCTACCTCCGTCGTGGTCAGCGCTGTTGGAGTAGCCGGGGTAGAGCCGTTCGCAGAGGTCTGTGCTTTTCGCTCGGGAAGCAACGTAGGCGGCGGCGGCGTGCTGCGCGGCGGAGCGCAGGCCGAGCCCTCCCTTGTCGAGCTTGAGCTGAGTCTGCTGCCAGGAGGCGTCGGAGGGAGAGCAGCCGCTTAGTTGCTCCAGGCAAGCCCGGACAGCGTCGTCCATGGCAACCAAGGAGGCGGTGTGCGCGGTGGGCGGCACCACGCGCGCGGAGTAGCCCAGCTTGCAAAAAGAAGCGCACTGTCGCAGGAGGTGCAGCGCGACCTGCGCGTTTTCGAGCGCCCCCAGAGCGTCAAGCAGAGCGGCGGCGTCAGCAACCCGCTGCCTCGTGTGACCCGCGCAAAAGCCAGCGCCCCCTATTGGCGCGCCGAACAGCTCAAACCTGCGATCGGCGCGGAGGCGGAACCCCTCTGGGAAGCCGTCCAGAGACACGTCGGAAGCGTCTCCGCCAGCGGGGACAACCTCGCACTTGTCCGGGCCGGTGCTCAGCTGGAGGCCCACCGCGGCGAGCTCGGCCACGAGCAAGCGGAGGAGGTGAGCGACGGCCGGCGCGTCGCCCGCTGTACGGTTCGGCACCCTTTTCGCACTTGAACACAGGGGCGGCGGCGGCTGAACACATCTATCATACATAATGCGTCTGTTGCGTTATCCACAGACACTTGCGAAACAGTGCGTGGTGTTGGTGGCAGAGACGCAGTTCGAAATCCCACTCAAGGGTTCGGCGCACCCCTCTCGCACTTGCACGCAGTGCGCGGCGGTGGCAGAACACACTCACGATACATCACCCGTCTGTGTCGTTATCCCCAGACATTCGCGCAAGAGTACACGGCGTTACTGGGGGAGGCGCAGTTCGAAATCCAACTTACGCAGGCCGAAAGATGTTCCTCTTGAGTCCCAAATGTCGGAAGCGACGAAATCCCGTCCCTTTTCCCCTCCTACCCCCTCCTCGTGCCTCCTCCCTCCACCTTCCCCTTTTCCGTCCTGGGAAGACCCCCCCCGTAGAATCGTAGCTTTGGTCAGCAGATCCGCAGTTCCGTGGATAACATGATGGTTCACGCGCGGTGCCCCGCAGATCCTATTTCCCCTGGGCCTGGGATGTAAAAAAATTGTCTGTAGCTACTCCCAGAAAATGAATGGATCCATTGGGTGTTCATACACGGGAAATTGGATCCGCGCAAGGCAAAAAGAGGATCCCCTACGCTGTCGCACACCCGGAAAGAAACAAAATGACATATATACACACACACACACACACACACACACACACACACACACACATATATATATATATATACATATCAAAAAAGGATGGACAAAACAAAAAACGTCATCAACATATATAGAATCATCATCAGCAGCATCACCATAAGCATCACCATATTGCTCATATGAATACTCACCATCATAATGATCATCGTCACCACTCATTATCATCATCAATATCATAATCATCCTCATCATTTCCATACTCATCTTCATGTTCGTATTCCTATTCATCTTCATCATCGGCATCATCATCAGCATCAGCATCATCGTCAACATGGTCACAGACACTACCACCAACACCTTCCTCATCGTCGTCGTCGATGTCCATCATCATTACCCTCGGCCTGTCCCATTCGATGATTATCAGAACCTGTAAAGCGCCAGCGTGCGCTTGTCCACTGAAGCCCTTCACATTGGCGGAAGCGTGCCATCGGCAAAGCTGGACGGGACAATCACACGATTGGGCTCACAAAATGAACAAACAAAAAACTGCATAAACCTAATTTCTCTGAGGTCCGCGCGCAGTTCTTGGGTCGGCGCCGCACCCCCTCTCCTTGGCGCACGGAGCGAGCCAAGGGTGGCGCCGGAGGCCCCGCCAGGGGGGCCCAGCGCCCGTCCGAGAAATCGGCGCGGACCTCCGAAAAAAATATGCGCACCCCGTTTTTGCTGTTCTCCGACCTCCTTCCCTTCCTCGCTCCTCCTCCTCCCGCTCTAGGCGGGGCTCCACCCCATAGGCGGCTGGGACGCACGCGCCCGGCTCGCCTCCGAACCTGTCAACGTCCGCGGCGATCCCATCGAACTGCTCGACATGGCGCTGCCCCGCCAGCCGGCTGCCTGCAGGGGAGGCCCGGGGCGAGAGTGGAAGCAGAAAAAACAGCATATAAATACAAAATTTCGGAGTTCCGCGCTGATTTCTCGGATCGGCGCTGAGCCCCACTAGCGGCCCCTCCGGCGCCGCCCCTGGCGCGATCCTCGCGCTCAAGGAGGATGTATCGAGTTTTGCTCGCCCATCCATCGCCGATAGATACTACATAGCTCACCCCGCCCAAAACTGCGCGAACTTACTATCGGGGGCCTATCGGGTGAGGGAACCGCATGCGAACTGCGCCACTGGGGCCTTCGGTGGAGCTCTCTATGGGGCCACGAAACACTGACAGCAGCCACTGGGGCCTTCGGTGGAGCTCCCCATGGGGCCAAGAAACGCTGCCCTGGGTGGGGGAACCGCATGCGAGAGCAGCCACTGGGGCCTTCGGTGGAGCTCCCTATGGGGCCACGAAACGCTGCCCTGGGCACGGGAACCGCATGCGAACTGCGCCACTGGGGATTTCCTTGGAGCTCTCTATGGGGCCACGAAACGCTGCCCTGTGTAGGGGGAACCGCATGCGAACTGCGCCACTGGGGCCTTCGGTGGAGCTCCCTATGGGGCTACGAAACGCTGCCCTGGGTGGGGGAACCGCATGCGCAGCCACTGGGGCCTTCGGTGGAGCAGCCAACCGCATGCGAGAGCAGCCATTGGGGCCTTCGGTGGAGCTCCCTTTTGGGCCACGAAACGCTGCCCTGGGCGGGGGGGAACCGCATGCGAGAGCAGCCACTGGGGCCTTCGGTGGAGCTCCCTATGGGGCCACGAAACGCTGCCCTAGGTGGGGGAACCGCATGCGAGAGCAGCCACTGGGGCCTTCGGTGGAGCTCCCAATGGGGCCACGAAACGCTGCCCTGGGTGGGGGAACTGCATGCGAGAGCAGCCACTGGGGCTTTCCGTGGAGCATGCGAGAGCAGCCACTGGGGCCTTCGGTGGAGCTCCCTATGGGGCCCCGAAACGCTGCCCTGGGTGGGGGAACCGCATGCGAACTGCGCCACTGGGGCCTTCGGTGGAGCCTCTACGGGGCCACGAAACGCTGCCCTGGGCGGGGGAATCACATGCGAGAGCAGCCACTGGGGCCTTCGGTGGAGCTCCCTATAGGGCCACGAAACGCTGCCCTGGGCGGGGGAACCGCATGCGAGAGCAGCCACTGGGGCCTTCGGTGGAGCTCCCTATGGGGCCCCGAAACGCTGCCCTGGGTGGGGGAACCGCATGCGAGAGCAGCCACTGGGGCCTTCGGTGGAGCTCCCTATGGGGCCACGAAACGCAGCCCTGGGTGGGGGAACCGCATGCGAGAGTAGCCACTGGGGCCTTCGGTGGAGCTCCCTATGTGGCTACGAAACACAGGAGAGGCGCGCCGAGAGCAGAGGCAAGGAAGGGGGGGAGGGAGGAGGGGGAGGAGGAGAGGAGGGGGAGAAGGAGGAAGGAAGGTGGGACGCGGGGCGCTGTGTTTTCAAAACGAGGACCCAACACCACAGGATGGTTGGGAAGAAATGGGATGCGCGAAGCGCCTCCGGGAGGGCCCGGGGCCGTTGGGTAGGCTCTAGACATGGCAACACGCAGCCGCTTTGGTCGTTTCTTGCTCGGCGCCCGGACGCCGTCGTCGTTGTCAGTCGGCCGCCCCCGCGGTTCTGCCCCTGTCTGACTCAGTCTGGGGTAAATCCACGGTTGACGGTTTGATTTTCGCGTGATTGAGACGACTCCCCCCCAGCCCCCCCCCTCGAACATTTCCCCGCGCACCTCCCCCTGTTTCCTGCCCCCCAATCAGTTCGCGCGCAGCCGCGCGCCGGGCAACGCACCCACAGGCCTCGGAGCAATTTAGCGAACACTCATGCCACATTCATCTGTCAACGCCCCCCCGCCCCCCCACAGTTCAAAGTTGGCGGCGGGTCCGATGAGATGCACTTCGACCGCAATCTCCTCCGCGCGCGCCAACATTGAGTTTGGGGGGGAGGGGGGGCGTTCAGAAATTGTTTCCCTCTGCCGTCTCATTCTTTAATTTACCCCGTCAATCGCTAGTTGGCCGGGCGATTATACGGACAGATTTATGCGGGACCAGTATGCTATATAAATATATATATATATATATAGATGTGAACATATATGTGTACATATGCGCGTGCACATCTGCATGCATATATACAACTCTTTAATGCTTTGGCGCCCGAGTCGCACCGCCCTCGTTCGTCGCGCATCACTCGTATCACTCGCTCCATCATTCCTTATATTTCCACATATTACTCGCATCACTCGTAGAAATAAAATTCGAGCATTGAGTTTGTTATTTTTCTTACGAGTGATACGAGTAACATGTGAAACATACGGAGTGCTAGGACGAGCGACACGCGTAATACGTGAAAAAATGGGCGGGATGCGCGAAGCGCCTCCGGGAGGGCCAGGGGCCGTTGGGCAGGCGCTAGACATGACAACACGCAGCCACTTTGGCCGTTTCTTGCTCGGCGCCCGGACGTCGTCGTCGCTGTCAGTCGGCCGCCGCCGCGGTTCGTCGTAGAAGTCGAGGAGCAAAATGGCAAGTTCGACTTGCCGATGTCCGACTCACTCCGCGGTACGTCCACGGTTGACGGTTTGATTTTCGCAATGATTGAGACGACTCCTTCCCAGTCCTCCCCTCGAATATTTGCCCGCGCACCTCTCCCTGTTCTCCTGCGCCCCAATCAGTTCGCGCGCGTCCGCGCGACGGGCAGCGCACCCACAGGCCTCGGAGCAAATTAGCGAACACTCATGCCACATTCATATGTCAACGCCCCCCCCCACACACACACACACAATGTTCAAAGCTGGCGGCTGGTCTGATGAGATGCAGTTCGACCGCAATCTCCCCCGCGCGTGCCAACATTGAGTTTGGGGGGGAGGGGGGGCGCTCAGTAATGGTTTCCCTCTGCCGTCTCATTGTTTAGTTGACCCCGTCAATTGCGAGCTGGCCGAGCGATTCTACGGGCAAGGATTTCTGCGGGGCCAATATATATATATATATATATATATATATATATATATGCGTGTACATTTGCATGCGTATATATATATATATATATATACAACTCTTTAATATTGTGGCGCCCGAGTCTCCCCGCGCCTCGTTCGTCGCGCATTACTGGCATCACTCGCCCCATCACTCCTAATTCTTCACATTTTACTCGCATCACTCGTAGAAAGAAAATTAGAGCATTGAGTTTGTTATTTTTCTTACGGGCGACACGAGTAATACGTGAAACATAAGGAGTGCTGGGACGAGCGATACGAGTAATACGTGAGAAAATGGGCGGGATGCGCGAAGCGCCTCCAGGAGGGCCAGGGGCCGTCGGGCAGGCGCTGGACATGGCAACGCGCAGCCGCTTTGCCGTTTCTCCCCTGGCGCCCACCCGTCGTCGCTGTCAGTCGGCCGCCGGCATGGTTCGTCGTAAAAGTCGAGGAGCAAAGTGGAAAGTTCGACTTGCCCCTGTCTGACTCAGTCCGGGGTAAGTCCACGGTTGACGGTTTGATTTTCGCAATGATTGAGACGACTCCTTCCCAGTCCTCCCCCCGAACATATTCCCGCGCACCTCCCCCTGTTTTCCTGCGCCCCAATCAGTTCACGCGCAGCCGCGCGCTGGGCAGCGCACCCGCAGGCCTCGGAACAAATGAGTGAACACTCATGCCACATTCATACGTCAACGCCCCCCCCCCCTTCCCCCCAGTGTTCAAAATAAGCGGCGGGTCTGATGAGATGCACTTCGACCGCAGTTTCCCCCGCGCGCGCCAACATTGAGTTTTTCCCCAACCATCCTGTGGTGTTGGGTCCTCGTTTTGAAGAGACGGTGCCCCGCGTTCCCTCCTTCTCCTCCTCCTCCCGCTGCCCCCTCCCTCCTGCCATCATCATCATCATCATCACCATCACCATCATCATCATCATCATCATCATCATCATCACCCCCCTCTTCCCTGCGTTTCACCCACCCAGTACACCGTTTCGTGGCCCCATAGGGAGCTCCGCCGAAGGCCCCAGTGCCCGCGCCCGCATGCGCTCACGCACACCCAAACGGGCAAACCCCTCACACGCGCGCCCGCATGCGTCACGCACACCAATTCGGCACACCCTCCATAGGGCCCCGCCGAAGGCCCAGTGCCGCCGCCCGCATGCGTCAGCACACCCAATTCGGCACCCCCTCACACGTTCGTGGCCCATAGGGAGCTCCGCCGAAGGCCCCAGTGCTGCCGCCCGCATGCGTCACGCACACCCAATTCGGCACACCCCTCACACGTTTCGTGGCCCCATAGGAGCTCCGCCGAAGGCCCCAGTGCTGCCGCCCGCATGCGTCACGCACACCCAATTCGGCACACCCCTCACACGTTTCGTGGCCCCATAGGGAGCTCCGCCGAAGGCCCCAGTGCCCGCGCCCGCATGCGTCACGCACACCCAATTTCGGCACACCCCTCACACGTTTCGTGGCTCCATAGGGAGCTCCGCCGAAGGCCCCAGTGCCCGCGCCCGCATGCGTCACGCACACCCAATTCGGCACACCCCCACACGTTTCGTGATAGGGAGCCACCGAAGGCCCCAGTGCCCGCGCCGCATGCGTCACACACCCAATTCGGCACACCCTCACACGTTTCGTGGCCCCATAGGGAGCTCCGCCGAAGGCCCCAGTGCCCGCGCCCGCATGCGTCACGCACACCCATTTCGGCACACCCCTCACACGCTTCGTGGCCCCATAGGGAGCTCCGCCGAAGGCCCCAGTGCCCGCGCCCGCATGCGTCCCGCACATTCATTCCAGCACACCCCTCACACGTTTCGTGGCCCCATAGGGAGCTCCGCCGAAGGCCCCAGTGCTGCCGCCCGCATGCGTCCCGCACACTCATTCCGGCATACCCTTCACACGTTTCGTGGCCTCATAGGGAGCTCCGCCGAAAGCCCCAGTGCTGCCGCCCGCATGCGTCCCGCACACCCATGTCGGCACACCCCTCTCGCGTATCGTGA